TATACTAAAATGAACTACTACTTACTACTTGTACTACTATTCCTACTTCACTGTTTTGCACTTGTAACGGGGCTACGGATCCCCTGCGATAAATGAGGGACTACTATAAACACCATGGTGATGGCTGTCACAGCTAAATGACTTTAGCAAATATAGAAATGACTAAAACTCAGCCAATTTTACAGATATTGAGCTCAAATGTGTTGTGTTTGTGGCTGAGCATGATCTCTAACACATACTTTGAGCAATACACTGCACAATATATTTCCTTAATATGTTGTCATTAACTGTTGTTAATGACCACAACTCAGACAAAGTTCCTAGAGAAATACTTTACTTCAAAATACTTCAGAGTTTTTGCATTTAAGATTCACAGCAGATAAAATAATTGTTGAACCTTTAAATATCCACTCTGCAGAGGGAAAACTTGTATTGAAGAAGCTAATTTGCACAAGAATCGTGCAAAATATGATACAAGCACCAAATTTAGCATGCTTGTTCCCAAGACTCTTCTGAACTATTCTGCCTGATTGGCAATCTAAAAATCCAGTCTTGTCAAACTTGCAGACAAATTCATTGTTAGGCCTGCTGACTGGAATTGGACTCTGATAGGAGGAACATGGCAGGTGGGTCCACTCTTCTACCAACTACCATAAATGCTCTTGTTATGCTCTTACTGACATGTGTTACTTGCATAGTACCAGGCTAATGACAGAAGATAACATGGATTGACAAAAATCATTCAAATTGATCAAGTAATTGCATTACCATATGATTACTTTACAGAAAAGGTTCTTCTTGAAAAAAGGCAGCCATATTGGATTTTCAAATGGCCAATCAGGCATATTTGTCAAATACCTCAAATAAGATCAGATTTGGTGCTTATATCACAGTTTGTACATTTTTTCTATTATCTGCTCTGCTATTGTTAAGGCCAGACATGCTGTTCTCTCCCTGAAATTGTTCCCTAGTGCCTTTTGGGTGTAGGCAGCAATTTAAATTTTCTCCAGAGGCCATGCATCTAACAAAGCATGGTCATCATTCGCTTCATAAACATTTAGCAGAGGTTAACCACGATGGACTGCTCAGATTGATGAAATGCTAGAAAGAACTATGCTGCCATCTGTAGTAGACTCAGTGTTACTGACAAGTAAAGCATATGATTTTCAGACTGATGCATTAAAAAAAACTTTTAAAGTTTTAAAAATTACTTTGTGTCATGTGTCAGTTTTAAGTTGCAGCATCAGATTATTTTTGTTGCCTGTGATGTAGGCAACATGTCAGTCAAACATTGAGCCCATTTCTAATTTTAACTTTACTCCAAATTGTGACATTGTTTTACAAAGTAAACACGTTTTGTTGAAGACCTTGTGACTAAGACCATAAATGACCATAAAATAAAAGAGCAACATATTCTTTTTGTAAAGGTCCATTTTTGTTTTGTTTTGCTTCTTTGTTTTGATCTCTTTAGGAACATGTAGATATATAAAACCAGATGAACATCCAAGCATTTATTGTAACTTTACAGTAATTGTTTGCTCTTTAGTATTTAAATCACCCTTTTGAAGAAAATTTGAGTTTGGAATAATTATAAATAAATAAAATTGTACAGGAATCCCAGAGATAAAAATGTGCCCACAAATTATGCGTGTTAAAAAATAAATGCTACATTAAATAACTTTTTTCTTCAAATAAATGTTGGATAAAGGGTTTTCAAGTCTGGTGTTTATATTTTTAATTTAGTGAGGAATCCTAAAAAGTACACAAAATGTAAAAACACACCATCACATTTTTTACTGTTCTCTCTTCTTTTTAAAACTTGTCACTTTTTTAAATCAAGTTTATTTATAAACCTCATAAATACCATTGACTAAAGTGATGTGCATAAAATAGAAAACAATAAATCATAAGGGGCACAAAAATATAACAAACATGTTAAATAAGAATTATTTTTCATGAAAACAGTTGAATTTTGAAAAAATATGTACAATAGTCCCTCATTTATAGCGGGTGTTAGGTTCTCCCCCGCAGTAAGTGAAAATCCACGAAATAGCGACGTTATATTTATTTTAGTATTTATATACTGTATATATTAGGGCTTTAGAAACACTTCCCACACTTTTGCAATGTTCTAAACTCTTAAACCTACGTCATTTTAACAACATATGTACAGTACTCATTGTACTCATCTGCTCACACATTCTCATGCTTGTGCTGCTGTATCGTTTTTATTCTATTAGTGCTTAGCATATTTTTAGTTGATGTTTTTCTTAGTTCATATCTTAGATCTTATTACTGTTTTTCTTTTACATTTTATTGTTGGATGTAACTGGGACCCTGAATACACAATCTCGTTCCACCACATGTACCACATGTGGTGCGAATGACAAATAAAGAAACTCTGACTCTGTACTGTATATGTAGCTACTAAACTGTATGTACCAGGCTCTGCAGAACAGAAGCGGCTCTTGGTTCTGGTCCGACTCGGTTAGTTTCTGCAGACCTACTCTACAGTGGCAAAGCCCATAATTCATTTTCTAAATTCTTAAACCTACTAATTTTAACATCATATTTATATGTAGTTAATAATTTTTACTTACCAGCACATCCACGCTCAGAGGTCCTCGTGGGCCGGTTGAAAGAGATGAAAAAAGTACCGGTGTGCGTCTCTGCTCGGATGTTCTCGTGGGCCAGCTAGGAGCGCTCAGGTTCACCGCTGAGTCTGGGGATCCAGTTCTGGTACAGTTCAGTGCAGCCCTTGGACGCCAAAGTGCATTTTGGGGATGGGGCAGAACTTCGGTTGGCTGGCGCGGGACTGTAGGTGGTCGATTGAGTCCAAGTCTGAATGAAAAAAGTCCAGATGGGCTTCAGATGGCGCCCCCGATCTTCGGCAGTGCGTCTCAGCTCGGAAGTCCTCGTGGACCAGCTACCAGCTTTCAAGCTTCACCGATGTGTCTGGAGGTCCGGTTCTGCTCTGGTTTTGCTCCGGTTCGGTGCGGCTCTCTGCATCTGCTCGACACTGAAGTCACTGTAATAAGCGTCAAACTATTTCCGATCATATCAAACTTTCCCTCTAGTATTTCAGCAGAAGGAAACAGGGTTTCTGGGCAGGGCCCTGTTGGCTTCTGGGAAATGTAGTCGTTGTGAACGGGAATACAGTGTTGGCTTATTGAGAGAAAACTACAAAAATATTTTTTCATGTACTTTTTACTGTACAGTACTGTATCTATGTCCCAATCACATGAGTAATATTAAAACTGACAATCATGTGTCCTGCACATTATGATGTTTTTGTACAGTATTATGTACAGTACGTTCACAATCCACGATAGAGCGAAGAGCGAGTTCACTGAAGTCGAACAACGAAGTAGCGAGAAACTATTGTGTGTGTGTGTGTGGGGGGGGGGGGGGGTAAATGGATCAATAATCAGGTTATATATCGTTAAACTCCTTGTTTCTAAATTATTGTTGTTCAAACATCCATCTGAAACAAGTAAGATATTACATGTTCATAACATTTCCATAGAGCTCCCATCCTTAACTATATATATATATATATATATATATATATATATATATATATATATATATATATATATAATCTGTCCTAGAGGTTTAGGGGGATTGTTCAGAGTAAAATAGTTCTGAGACTGTTGTTGTCTTTGGGAGGGTTTAATGTCTCATATTCTTTTTGTCAAATGTCCAACCCAAGGTGACCACAGACCTCTACCACATGTTGGTCAACAACGGATACCAGCTGGACTGTCGCGGTGTTGTCAAGGTGAAGGGGAAGGGGGAGATGACCACCTACTTCCTCACCAGCGGCCCCCCGGGTAGTTAACGACTGACCGGAGGGGAACTCTCACTGCATCCATGAGACTGAGCGCTCAGCCTGTCAACGAGCACGGTTCAGCCTCACCGGGGACAGGCCGGGGCCGACAGAGACGAGACCCTCTCTCAGATGCACACGTGTACGTCGTCGTTGGTGTCTGCAGGCTTTATCTCGAGCCGCCCAAGAGATCACACAGCCCAGTTGCCTTAGGATGGAAGAGGCTATGCTTGTGTTTAAGAGCAATAGTACAAGTTTATCTGGAGTCTTTTATTTATTTTTGTGACAAAAACAAAACTGTTCCTCTTGGAAAAAAATATGCAAGGACAACGTGAAGATGAATAACCAAAGAACCAACTATTGATTCAAAATACGCTGATTCTGCTCAAGAGGACAACGAACTTAGCTATAAAGTTCCTCCTTGGAGAGCGAAGGCCACGGAAACGTCTGTCACTGACAGGGTTGAACTCTTTTATTTTGTTGTGAATGAAGGAGAACGCACAGATACGCAGACTGAAAACACAATAACCTTGGTTTGGACTTTTCTGTGTTTTTATCAGGGCTTTTTTTTTTCCTTCTTAGTTCCTTCCAGTCTGTGATATTCCACAAGACTGTTTGGAGTTTGGTCAATGTACGAATGAACACTCGTTCTCTGCCTTTTAGTTTGCGCAACACAGAAAACATTTAAATTAAAAAAAACAAAACAAGAACTGCAAAATGAAGAAGGAAAAGTTGTGTTCAAACTGCACAACGATGGGGATTGTAACTCGTTATAAAGCATTGTGTGTGTGTGCGTGTCTGAATGCTGATCTGTACAGGGGCCTATGGAAACTTTTCACTGTGAGATTTTTACGATCTGCTTTCTTGCCAAACATTTTGCTGCAAAGGCGCATTTTATTCTTCGTAGTTGTGTATCCATTCCTAATCTTTGAGTCAGAATGATGTTTTTAAGAAGATTATGTCCCTTTATGCGCCTTTACCGGACTGTGATTTATGACTGACTTCATTCCAAATAAAGATATTTTTGGGGAGGGGGTTGTGTTACAATGAGTGGCGGTAAACTGAAGTCCTGATACCTTCAGGACAAAGTGCACACACTCTCTCCGTCTGCTTCGTATTGCCTTTGATATTGTTCAGCACCAATGTCGGCGTACTTCATGGGCCAAATTCACAGCATAGTCAGTATTTGACTCCAGTTTGTAGAAGCAGGAAACTGTTTGAATGAATGTAAGCAATAATGAAGGTTTTTGAATGATATTTTAGGTCTAACAGTTTAGACTCTTCATCAGCTAAAGGAACAGTTTGTCACGTTGTGTTGATCTTGTTTCTGTTCAAGCTCCGAAACACTCAGATGATCATATTTGCATTTATATTTCAGCATTTTAAGAAGAAAAAGCCAAGCCTGCAATCGACATTTAAAACATTAAACAATTAGTGCAATGATAAATTCACTTATATTCCCCTATTAAAAGAAATCAATAAATGGCTGTTTTTGTATTGCTGTCTGATTTCCATTCTCTAAAACACACAAAAAATTGAAAACGTGTTCCACTAAACAACACTTCCATCCTCTGAGTGTGTTCTCATGTCAATCTGCAAACTGCAATCAAGACTGCACCGTGTGACAGAAACCTGAGCGCTGCGCCCGTCTCTCTTTTCTGAAAAAAAAAAAAAAGATCTACGGTTTCAAGAGGGTGGTACAGGCGAGAGTATTTAATTGCTCGTGCATGAATAATACATTTCTGATGAGGTTATTGCAATGTTCACTCACAGCCCTCCGTGGTGATCATTAATTAAGAGACATAAATTCCTCCTAATCCTTGATGAAAAATGGACTGATGTTACACTAATAGCTACATGACACATGGACACGAGCTGCGTTATATTCAGTGGTTCTGATTGATTTGATGCTCCATTGTTAGATTTCAGCACAATACTGCATTTAAAATAAGACCTCTGTAATTACATAATAGTTTATTGAATTATAGGATTCATGGCAAAAAAAACAAAAGGCTTAATTTAGTAAAGTTGTATCAAAAGTTCTCCTGTCCTGATGCATGCTCAATAATCCAGGTAGAAAAATCTAAAAAAGTTAAATCTGGTCCTCTGGACATTCAAAAAACAAAACAAAGCAAAACAACAAAAAAATTGTAGAAACGTTTCGTCTTTCATCGAAAGACTTCTTCAGTCTGAGGAGCTGTATTCAGCTCAGTCTCTTAAATAGTACCTTCTCAGAGTGGATCAACCAGTTTTGCTGCTGACAACCAAAACCAGCTGATCACATGCTCAAGAAGGACCATCAGCCTAACAATGGGTCATTAGCACACTGATGGCTGTTTACTACTCACAGAGGGCTGAGTGATACTAGCAATCACAGCATTGTAAGAGGGGGACAGTTGAACCCGGAGGCCTCCACCCCTGTTTAATGATGGACGATTTCTTTTCACAAAGATGGCCTCCTTTACTCCTCTCTCAAACCATCGTTCCTCTCTGTCCAGGATGTGAACATCTTCATCCTTGAAAGAGTGACCGCTGGCCTGGAGATGAGTGTAGACCGCAGAGTCCTGGCCTGATGATGTTGATCTTCTGTGCTAGGTCATCCTTTTGGCCAGTGGCTGTTTAGTTTCCCCGATGTAAGACTGATCACCCTCCTGACACTGAACAGCATACACAATATTACTCTGTTTGTATTGCTCCCCATATGTGAAGTAGGTTGACTGCAGGCACAGTTTCAGGAGTTGACACCGTTGTTCTGTGTCAGCACCTCAGACTGAGGAAGTCTTTCGGATTAAAGACGAAACGTTTCTACATTTTTTGTTGTTGTTTTGCTTTGTTTTGTTTTTTGAATGTCCAGAGGACCAGATTTAACTTTTTTTTAGAAAAGTTCTCTTGGTGTTTTTGTTTTAAAAAAGCATGAAGTCTCAACTCTTAGGGGAATACATTTATTTTCCGTGTTACAGGAGGCATTCTACTCATTTTAGCTTCACGTCTTCTTGGAGATCCATTCAGTTCAACACGAAGCTGTTCTGACAGATTGATCATTGTGTGTGCAGTTCCAGGAAGACAATGTCCTCAACCACTGACCATGAATGATTGGTAAAGAGTTGCATAAGTTACAGCCTTTTATATTTACTACTCTGCACACCTGGTACCAAGTGAGGACATTAAAGATGTGACATCCCTCCACGTTGCAAAGAATTTGGAAGATATTTGCATAATAAAGCAGTTTCAGGGCACACCAGTGAAATGCACATACGCGAGAAAAGTTTTTGATTGGAAAAGTATTCAGTTAATTCATCTACTGAGCAAAATTCTTGTGTCATCCAACATATCTTATTTGTTCTGATATAGTTTTCTGTCCTGTTTTCAGAAGAATGATTAAGCCTCTTAACTCTGACCTGAAAAATCATTCAGGCACCCCAAAATAAAAAGCTCCTAAAGACAAAAAGCAGTGCTCTGGTTTGACCCCATCCATCCATTATCTTTTACCCACTTCTTCCTTTTCAGTTTGCAGGGGTCACTGGTGCCCATGTCCACCAGTCAGTGTGTGAGAGGCGGGGGACACGCCTGGACAGGTCTCCAGTCTATCACAGGGCTACAGGGACAAACAAGACAAACAACCATTCACTCTCACTCACACCTTGAGACACTTTAGAGTTACTAATCAGCCTAATGTGCATGGTTTTGGTCTGTGGGAGGAAACCGGATTTGTACCAGTACGACCTTCTCGCTGAGAGGCAGCAGCTCTACCAACTGAGCCACTGTGCTGCCAACAGAAGCATTAAGAGCCTAATTTCAGAAAAGGATAAAGTAAGTTGGTCTGGGGGAAAAGAAATGGCCAGTCATTGACCCCGTGGTAAGTAAACTGTCTTCGGGTGGAGGGATCGGGATCCAATGGCGACGTGTCCTTGGACAATGTAACACATTGCTCTCCAGAAGCTCATTGGTGTATAGTGAGACTTTGGGAGTATTGTGTGTGTGTGTGTGTGTGTTGGGGGGGGGGGGGGGTAAATGAGTGGATGAGAACCATTGTGAAGCACTTTGCAGAACTTAAGTTTAAAAATGTGCCATCCATGCAGAAAATCGTGTTTAAAATGGGTCTCAAGGTGCTTTGTTGTCAGCAGTTTGTCATAAAAGCACAAATGGTCTAAATTCATTTAGCTGAATCTTTTTACCAAAGCTATTACTAGTAGTAATACTGTTACATGATATATTGGGAGTGGTGGTGCAGAGGCTAGAGAAAGTGGGCCTGTGATTGGAAGGTCGCCAGTTCGACTCCCTGTACAAACAAAAATCAAAAAATGAGGGTGGAAAAGGTGAAATGCGCACATCTGCCTTCACCCTCATTCGCCCCACTCTGGGCCCCTGAGCAAGGCCCTTAACCCCCATTATCTGCTCCAAAACAGGTCTCTCTTGAAAATGAGTCCTCTTGACTCAAAGAGACTACCTGTATAAATAAAAGTTAAATACATAAAATAAAATAAAACATACATAAAATAGTCTTTTAGCACCCGGACTCCCAGAGCGATTAGCTGAAATCATGATACACAGTAAAGAAGGTGATGTCTGTGTCAGGTTCTTGCAGGATTTCCCCCCCTCTTCTTTATCTTTAATACTCAACTTTCAGAAACTTTTTCATCTCGTTCTAAATGTTTTTGGCACTCTTCTCTTGTGTCCTCTCCTTATCTGCTTTCTTTCTTTTATAGCGCACTGATGGTTATGTCAAGGTAAAGAAAACAAATGAGTGGAAAAGCATAAATATGCTATAAATAATACGAGTAAGACCATTTTGAAAGATGCTCAGAAGAAATTTAAAGAAGAAGTGGCTTAAGACTTTGGCACAGTTCTGAGTGTAAACTTAGCACATAATGTAAAAACTCTTTTCTTAGCTTGAACAATCCTCCTTCAGGTAAACTTCAACACCTCCACCGTGTGTCCGCTGCCCGTCGCTGATTGGCTGCGGCTCCATGTGACCAATTCAGTTCAGGTCGCGCGCTACCAGCAGGGGACTCGCTTCAACCAAACATCAAAGCACTTTTTCTTTCATGGCACCTGTTGTTCAGTTAAAGAACAAAACTCAGGAGTACTTCTAGTACTAGGTCTACTTCCACCTCCGGTGTGAGTCCAGCTGAAAGAGCAGAACCGAACCGGGTCGGTTTTGGCGGTACAGGAACAGGAGGAGGACAACAGAACAGGTGTCGCGCGACAGCTTCTTTTAAGTTTTATGTAAGCAAGAAAGTTTTTAAACTCCATTCTTAGCAACTTCCGGTCGTGTTTTTTTAATTCAAGTTAACTTTTGTTTCAGCTCTTAAATATTTGTGTCGGCTAAAAATAAATAAATAAAATAAAATACAGGGAAGTCGTCATCACCATCTCTTCCTCTTTCATTTCAGTTAAAATCTTTTCTTCGTTTTTGGTCTCAGTTCCAGAAACCTGCCTACCATTCTCTCCACTCGCATTTATATTTAGTCAAAATGTTAATTTTGATCTATTTCCTGGAACCTAATATATGAAGGCTCTGGTATGATAAGGATCAATTAAAATGTCTGTTCATGTTTTACTGTGTTATTGAGGGCTGACTGTAAAGAGACAACACAAAGTAGGCTTCTATTATTTTCAAACTCAAGTCTTCTCCTGAATCAGTCATGAGGCCAGCTGGCTTAAGGATCAAATAAATTAATTATGACCCAAGTAAGAGTGAGTCTTGTGAACAGTGAGCAGAGTCCTGCTTGCAGTGAGATCCTGTTTCACTCAGCAGGAAACAGTCTCCCATTGTGTCAAGGCCAGGTGAAGTTATGCCACACTCCACGTAGCAAAACTCCAGTTCCTGTTGCAGTTGACAAATGATGTATGATAAAGAATAAAGGGCCAGCGTGTCACTTACTGACTGGTGTGGTGGAGCTTCAGGCTGCACCTGCTATGCAGCTCACCTGTTGCCACGTGGGTCCTGGTGGACTGTGGCCAGAAGCAGGTGGATTCAGGTGTTTGCAGAGAGGCGCGGTGTGTTTGTTCTTTCTTACCACCTCCCTGCTCCCTCCACTCCCCCTATGGGATTGTCTCCTAAAGAAACGGAGCGGCAGGAGGAGGAGGAGCAGGGCTGGCTGGATCAGCAGCTGCTATGACACTTGGAGAGACGCACAAACCGGTTTGAGGTATTTCTTTTGTGCTTGCTACTGTCAACCTTTGTTTCGTTCAGGAATCACAGTGTGAGTGTGTAGCAAGACACCGCAAGTAACAGCTGAGTGTGCCTTGTTGTTTTTTCAAGACAAGGCTACTTTCAGCTCAAACATCCAGCGATCAGTTCAACTCAGGAGACTTTCTGCACTTTTTTCTGTTTTACAGCACTAAAGTTTTCTTCAAACATGCGTTTTTTACGTCGCCGGATGTCCCCTCTGAAGCTGGTGCTCCTTGGAGGCACGCTTTTCATGGTGGTCCTGGTGGTTCTTCAGAGGGACGTGGTCTCCTCACCTGATAGGGACCCCTGGTTACAGGACCTGGTTCACAAAAGGGACAAGGTGATGATCATGGTCCGAGATGCAGTGAACAACATTGGCTTCCAGATCGGAGCTCCTCAGCCGCCACCGGTTCAGGAGCAGCCCACGCAGAACGTGAAATGCCCTGCTGGATTTTACACTCGGACCGAGCTCAAGCCTCACCTGGAGAGGCCACCTCAGGACTCGCATGGCTTCGGGGCTGATGGGAAGGCGTTTCAGAAAGATGGCCTGACCCCTGAGGAGGAGAAGGAGAAGGAGGAGGGCATGACGCGCCATTGCTTTAATCAGTTTGCCAGTGACCGCATCTCGCTCAGCCGCAGTCTTGGCGATGACACCAGGCCTCCAGAGTAAGTTCTTAAAGCAATCTTAAATGAAACCAAACCCAGACGCTGTTTTGCCTACATGAAAGTAGACACAGCGAGATAACAGTCTGTCTCAGCTGGGGCAGTGCTCACACTGGTCAATCATTTACGTGCACTTTTAGTTCACACTTGCAGTCTTCTTAAAGAATCATCTGAGTAACCTGATTGTAATCTGGACTTCCGGCTCAAACAGCGGCCCAGGTCAAGATGCTGGTGTCAATAGTCCCATTCACAGTAAATGTTTGTCCAGCATGATATCCCAACACAATGATACGGAGAGCCTTTACATATTTGCTTTACGGTGGTTTTAGGTGGCTTTGAAAATGAGCGGTTTGATCTGGTTGAGTGAGAAACCTAAAGTGTCACCATGCAGTCAGACCTTGAGTATCCATAAACAAGAGTCTCGTACGCTTGGCTGTGTAAGACCTTGTGTGACTTTTATTTGATCAGATGTGTCTTTCACTCTTAGCCTTTTCCTCTCTCTCTTTGTATTTGGTGTGGGTGGCTTACCTCACACAGGTGCGTTGAAAGAAAATTCCCTCGCTGCCCTCCTCTGCCTACCACCAGCGTCGTGATCGTCTTCCACAATGAGGCCTGGTCCACGCTCCTCAGGACGGTTTACAGCGTCCTGCACTCCTCTCCCGCCATCTTGCTGAAGGAGATCATCTTGGTTGACGACGCCAGCACTGCAGGTTAATACACTAATAAAATATTTAAGGGAACTTGTTGAAAAGCTCTAAATGTTGTGTAACAACATGAGAAGTTAATGCAAAGTGGGAAAGTGTTGGGAGACTATGTTCAAATCATTGCAAACATTTATTAGAGTTTTGAAAAAAGCTTCATGTAAGTTAGAAGCCAAATCAATTGGACTCCACATTCATTCAACCTTTATTCATACAGGTTAGTCTCTTTGAGCCATGCGGACTCGTTTACAAGAGAGACCTGTTTTAAACAAAGAACACAGAAGAGGTACAGACAACAATAAGCAATCATAAAAAGCATATAAAATGAAAAGTAAACAGAAGAAATGATATACAAATGAAACAACAAAAAAAAACAGCTACATTATAAAGCGATGTAAAATACTAAAAACAGGAACATGTCTGTGTTGGATTTTGCCATGAACTTAGAAGTTGTTTAAAATCCTTTAGAGGGGTCAATATCGAGGGCTTCAGATCTTTTTGAAAGGTGTTCCAGGAAACAGGAGCAGAGAAAGAGAATGCCCTTTAAAGAGATGCAAATCAACCAAAATACCAGAGTATTTGTAAGAATCCACAAACTCAGTAGGGACACCTTTCATAGATAAGATAGGAGGAAGGACTGCCGGGACCGACTTCCTGTTTGAAAACAGCATCCTTTTGGTTTTATCAGCATTTAGCACCAGTTTGAAACAGAACAAATCTGACTGGATGATGTTGAATGCAGACTGTAAAAGCTGGAAGACCTTAGCAACTGTTCTAGCGCGACAATAAACAACTGTGTCGTCAGCATAGAAATGTAAGGACGCATCAGGAATGATGTGATTGTAGATTATACATTACTTACCAGATTACACACCTATCAGTAATCTTTTTCTCCTTCAACTTTTATCTCTTTCAGATTGTTGTTTTATGTTAACCTTGCAATCACAGGAAAAAAAACCCACAGTAGAAATAAAAATGCATGAAAAATGTTCATGCTGACAAAATTGAAAAAAATTAAGCATATTTGCAGTAATAATTACACTTACTGCAGCTACATGTATTTATCAGTTTTCAAACAAAATTTTTAATTTATATTTGTCGCTAGAAATGTTGTTCCAAGGCTAAAATGTTAAACATGTTTAGAAGAGTTGTGTTGCGTGTATTTACTTTTATGTATAGTCGTTTATTATTTTTTTACATATACAGTGGTGCTTGGATGTTTGTGAACTCTTTAGAATTTTCTATATTTCTGCATAAATTTGACCTAAAACATCATCAGATTTTCACACAAGTCCTAAAAATAGATAAAGAGAACCCAGTTAAACAAATGAGACAAAATACTATACTTGGTCATTTATTTAAAGGAGAATGAGCCGATATTACATATTTATGAGTAGAAAAAGTATGTGAACTTTTGCTTTCAGTATCTGGTGTGACCCCCTCTGTGCAGCAATAAATAACTGAATGTTTCTGGTAACTGTTGATCAGTCCTGCACACTGGCTTGGAGGAGTTTTAGCCCATTCCTCTGTACAGAACAGCTTCAACTCTGAGATGCTGGTTGGTTTCCTCACATTAACTGCTCACTTCAGATCTTTCCACAACATCTGGATTGGATTAAGGTCAGAACTTTGACTGGGCCATTCCCAAATATGAACTTTATTCTTCTTGAACCGTTCTTTGGTAGAACGACTTGTTGGTCATTGTCTTTCTGCACGACCCACCTTCTCTTCAGATTCAGTTCATGGACAGATGTTCTGATATTTTCCTTTAGAATCATCTCATATAATTCAGAATTCATTATTCCATCAATGATGGTAAGCCGTCCTTGCCCAGATGCAGCAAAACAGACTCAAACCATGAAACTACCACCATCATGTTTCACAGATGGGACAAGGTTCTTGTGCAGGAATGCTAGTGAAGAAAAAAAAGTTTTTCTTTCTCCAAACATAACACTTTTCATTTAAACCAAAAAGATCTATTTTGGTCTCATCCGTCCACAAAACATTCTTCCAACAGTCTTCTGGCTTGTTCACGTGATCTTTAACAAACTGCAGACGAGCAGCAATGTTCATTTTGGAGAGCAGTGGCTTCCTTCTTGCAACCCTGCCATGCACACCATTGTTGTTCAGTGTTCTCCTGATGGTGGACTCATGAACATTAACAATGTGAGAGAGGCCTTCAGCTGTTAGAAGTTACCCTGGGCTCCTTTGTGACCTCGCTGACTATTCCACACCTTGCTCTTGGAGTGATCTTTGTTGGTCGACCACTCCTGGGGAGGGCAACAATGGTCTTGAATTTCTTCCATTTGTACACAATCTGTCTGAATGTGGACTGGTGGAGTCCCAACTCTTTAGATATGTTTTTTTTTTTTACCTTTTCCAGTCTGATGAGCATCAACAACTCTTTTTATGAGCTCCTCAGAAACCTCCTTTGTTCCTGCCATGATCCACTTCCACAAACATGTTGTGAGGAGCAGACTTTGATAGATCCTGTTCTTTAAATCAAACAGGGTGTCCACTCACACCTGATCATTCATCCCATTGATTGAAAACACCTCACTCTAATTTCACCTTCAAATTAACTGCTCATCCTAGAGGTTCACATATTTTTGTCTCTCACAAATATGTAATATTGGAGCATTTCCCTCAATAAATAAATAACCAAGTAAAATATTTTGTCTCATTTGTTTAACTGGGTTCTCTTTATCTACTTTTAGGACTTGTGTGAAATTCTGATGATGTTTTAGGTCGTACTGATGGAGAAATATAGAAAAGTCTAAAGGGTTCACAAACATTCAAGCACCACTGTACCAAATATGTCACAATCAGGCAGAGTACAAATAAATTGTTTAGTGTAGGTATTTATTATTAGAGTAAATAACATAACGCAAACAAAAAATACACATTTACACAGTTTAAACTTCCAAGTGTTTGTTTCTACAAATGCCTAATAAACAAACAAACAAACAAAAAAAAACAACTAGAAAACCTTTCCCTCACATGTCAATGTTCTCTGAGGTTTAATAAACTGAACCCTGATAAGCGAATCGCAGCCCAGATCTCATTCAGGCAAGCTGAAACTCGAGAAGGTTTAACGTTCAGATTTTTATTCTCAGTATTTCAAAAGCTTTCCTTTATTCTGAAGTCTGGAAACATGCTGTATTAGCTCATTGCCAGCGACTTACTGAAAGAAATACCAGTACTTATTGTTTATTTACAAATTAATAAGTAACAATGGTGGCTCTTCATTTCACTTCTAGTTAAAGGAGTTGAAAATGATCTTTTTCACTTTGCATGAGACCGTGTAAGTCAGGTGTGTTTAGTTTATTCTAAATACGTGGTGAAAGTTAACATAACAGGCTTTGTTTTCTTTGGGTGAGGTGTTAATTCAAATATTCAGCTTACGCACTTAAGTGCCACAGTAACTGAAAGGTAACAGCAAGTGCATCCAACAATACAAAAATAAACTTTATTTACTTCTATTTACATGTAAAATACGTTAGTACTAGAATTTAAAAAAAATTGTGGAACTTTTGTTTGTTTATTTCCTTGATATTTGAACTTGGTTGGAGCAATTGTTTGAGAAAGAGAAGTTAAAAGAGGATGATGATTTGTCAGAAGCTCCAGTAAAACAAAGATCATGTTAGTCACAATAGGCCATTACATAAACACTGTTTGTTTGTTTGTTTCATAAATTACATTCAATAAGTATAAAATTATAGTCTATTTATATAACACACAGTTCACCCTATTTTCCCACATGGACTGTTCAGGCTTTGGTTTTCTACCAAAGGCCAGGGAGCTCAAGGGTTCTGCACAGTATCCCATCTGAATAGAGTTTGGACTGGAAGTCCCACAGTAAAGAGGGAGACCCCATTAAGGATGGTGGAGAATAGCAGGGCTAAGATACTGTGGGACTCCCAGATCCAGACTGACAAACAGGTGATGGCTAACCATCTGAACATTGTGGTGGTCAACAAGCAAGAGAAGAAGGCAGTGGTGATAGATGTAGCAACCTTGTGACCGTAGCATCAGGAAGAAGGAGCAGAAGACACTAGAGAATTACCAAGGGCTGAAAGAGGAAATATAGAAGTTGTGGAGAGTCAGAGTCAGTAGTCCCAGTGCTCATTAGAGCACTTGGTACTCTGACCTCCAAACTGGAAGAGTGTCTCTACCAGATCCCAGGAACAACCTCAGAGATCTCTGTCCAGAAGAGTGCAGAGCTATTAGAAGCATCAAACTCCCAGACTTCTAGTAGAGGACCAGGGTTTGAAGAGAAGTGGAACCACCAATTTAAAAAAGTAAAAAAAAAAAAAAAATTTGGAGAGCTGGGTGCTTTTATTTTTTATTTTTTTACAAAAAATATTAATATATCACCTGTAAAGAGCTAATGTTAGTTACAGAGCAGGTAACGAGCATAAACTTTGAAAACATCAAAAGTCCACTAAAGTTACAGATAATTCATTAATAAACAGTGACAACTTCAAGCTCCTGTATATGTTTTGATAAGACATCGCAGAGTCGAGTTTGTTTAGGATTTTAGCAGTTTACTCCCACTAAAGTAAATAGACTGAGCGGATGCAAGCTGCAAAGACACAAAGTGAGAGTGATGAGAAGGGAGACAACCACAGCAGCAGTCTCACAAGACTGAATCTGAGTTCATCTGTGTTTGAAACTGAAGCTGGAAGCAGAAAATCTAAATAGCAGCGTGTCAGGAAATCTCTCGGGTGCAGCTTCACCTTATTCAGAACAATGAAAGAGCTGTCTTTAATACTTCAAGTGCAGCACAGCAACATCCCACAGAACTGTGCTAATATCTGACACGTTAAGTGCTGTGAGCTACAAGTAATGGAAAATAAAGATAACTGTCAGCTTTAGGAAACGTCACATTATGATTATCATGAATTATTTGTTTAGACAATGAAGCCACTTTGTGCCCACCTCATTACTGTGGTCTGTTCCCTTCTTTAGTTCTGACAGAAGCACTTCTGCTGCAGTTTGAATGCTCTTATTAGATGTATAACTTGCAGGTGCTGTGACATATTGTGTGCAGACAATATTTGAGAGGGTAAATGATGTGTTTTAAATGTAAGCAGCTTTTCCACTAAACTTGCTCAACATTTTATTCTGAGTTGCTTGAAGCTTAGGTCACTTGAACTGGTCAACATTTTCTTGTTACTTTTGTGAGATTGTTGATATTTTATTATATTTTTGATGTTCTTCATTTTAATTATACAACTGTAATTTGATCTTACAAAGCAATGCGCAAAAGCAAAAATCACAAGCATTAGGTTTTTATTTTTCCTGTTTTTGTTTTTCCTTTAGTTGTTCATTTAGTCACACATCCCTCCATTTATTCAGTCATTCCCGCTAAGTGCTTCTGAAATTTTTGACTGCATGATCTTGATTTGACACTCGTTTTCTATTGTGGCCTTTATTGTGCCTTTTTTTCATGGGCAGGTGATTTTTTTAACACTTCATGTCATACACAGATTACATCTAAAACCATTGAAACTAAGCTGATTACTGTTAGTTTATCCCTGTTCTTTCTAGTTTTTAGAGGACAACACTAAAGAATTTGTGCATAAAAGGACAAAATTTCATCAGTCTTATTTTTTTGTAGACTGACGGTCCATTCAGTGGCAAATTAAAATGACCAACTGAAATCTAATAAAGTAAACCCAAACAAGGAGTTAGAAATCTTAGCAGAGAAATAAAACATTAAAAGTACAGGTAGAGAAATGTTAGCCCATTTTTTTCCTCTTAATTAAATATATAACTCCAACTAAATGAGAATTTCCTGACAATTAGAAAGAAAAAGAGGACACTCCATTTTTTACTTCAAAGGTAAAACCTGGATGATGTGAATTTATGGAGACGGTTCTGTTCTGAGAGGAGCTCAGGTTGCTTCAAAGCTAGCAGAAAATTTGCCATATTTGTTAATTTCCTCAGTTTTTAAATGATTATTGGCTTCATACATTCAAATACATGTTCCTGAACACAAAAAGACATTATAAACGCAATAAAAGCTCATATTTGTACTAACATTATTACACCTGATAGTTATCTGTATTGTTACTTCACATCTGTCAATCATTAATAATACGTGTGGTTCATTAACAGAAATATTCTGTGTTTGTTGGGTTTGCTATTGTTCAACCTCAGCTGAATGCACGTTTCTTCTCCTACTTCTCTTTTTAGCTCCCAGAGCTGTAACTTCCTGTTCATGTGTAGTTGATCGATTCACTCAGCCTGAAACTTATGAGAAAGATGTGCATTGTGGTCACAGACGTTCTGCGTGGGGAAGTGTGACTCAGTTTTACCAGCAGAGTTTCCACTTTACTGCTTTCTTCTGGCAGGGGTCTCTGACGTTAACTGTTTGCCTTTTTCTTCATGTAGTGGGAGACCTCATACCAGGTTTCACAGATCATTTGTGTCTGTCGTTTGAAGTCTGCTGAGCATGTGATCACACTGAAGTAATGTCACCCACTCACAATGATGTTTTGTATCTGCAGAGCATCTTAAGAGCAAGCTGGAGGAGTTTGTGCAGCAGCTGAAGATTGTCCGTGTGGTCAGACAGCCGGAGAGAAAGGGCCTCATCACAGCCAGGCTGCTGGGTGCCAGTACAGCTCAGGGTGAAATTCTCACCTTCCTTGATGCCCACTGTAAGAACAACTACGCAGCTGTAGCAACAACACTGCTTCAGCATGTTGCAGCAACTTGATCATAAAATCATCAGGGTTGGAAGTTGAACTAAAATGTGCTCGTGCTTATACTAGAAAGCATTTCTAGTAATTTTCCAAATAAAATGTTGGTACCTTGGTAATAGCATTAGCTTTAGTTATATTTGAGATGATTTGATATAATATAGCATTAGGGACCATGTATCCATCATTTATTAATGTTTGGAAGCTTCTCTTTCACATGTAAGTCTCAGTAAAGTATTCTACAAATAGATGTTTGTTTAAAGGCTGAAAATTAAACCCTACCTGAAACGAAACACAAATCAAGGGTGGAAATTCCACCTCATTATTGGGGGTGTCAGTAAAAGGGGAGTTTTTTAAGACTGCTTTTTGGGGGGTTCTTTAAGACCCTGTTTGCACGAGAACAACCTCTGAAAACATTAGTTTTTTTCAATGTTTATTGGGCATAATAAACAATAAAAGAGAGAGTTTGAACAAAAACGCTGTAGTTTCCATGTAAGTCAAGTTGCCAGATAAGAAATTATGAACTATAGTACTGTGGCTATAAAATTATAGTATTTTGACCTCAACTGTCGTGCTGAGTAAGGTATTCTAAGATTAGGTGTGTGCTGTGTTTGTTTAACATGTGTACAGAAAAGGAGGGGTTAAATAGGACATTTTAAATTTATCTGGCAACACTGATGATGGCTCAGCTGCATTCATTGTGCATGCAGTGTCTGCATGATCACAGTTACATACATACAAAGTAATGAATACACAATCGTCTCTTTGGACCCTGGGTTTTATTGGTTTTGCTCCTACATGCTGAAAAATGGGGAGTAGCACGAAAACACTCTGCTGTCTGCCATTTATTATAACTGTTGTTAGTGCAGAAAAACAACTTTTGACTGCAGACACCTGTAGCGCGCATGTGCGACTTCACACTTGCGAAGCATTTCGTGTAAACGTGTTCATGTACGTCGTGTAAACGGGGCCTTAGTTACAGTAAAATGTAAAGTTGTAAAATGAAATAAAAATGAAACCGTCATTACCGTGTTCTCCGGGTAGAAAAGTTGTAGAAAATAAACTATCAAAACCACTGAACGTCTTTCTCCACCTGCCCCCCAATTATTGTTGCACTTGATTCACTACCTTGTCACTTGCGACTTTCAACAGAAGTTTATTATTTGGGATTTTTTTTGTTTTTTTACAAAACCATATAAACTATAAGAACATATCGCTAAACACCTGACATGCATACACACACAATAATAAAGCCCAAAAGAAAAGAAAAAGATCACAACCACATTGAGACAGTGTCTGTTGTTGCCATAAAAACATGTTACCAAAAACTCTGCTGTAATCTCGAAATATTTAAATATAAATATGGGTGTAGTTTTCAGTCTAAAGATGGTTTAGTTCCAAGTTGAGGATAGATTTATTTTGGTTTAAATTGCTTGTGTGGTCTTTGAATAATTGTCACTGATCTGTAGCAGTTTTACAAGAATTTAAAGCTCTAAAAAGATAGAACTTATTAACAAACAGAAGACTTATGTCTAATAAATAAATCCACTAAATCAAATACAAATATTCTTCAGCAACACTGATTTATTGTGGAGTCTGTAAATATAAATTATGCACCACTGAAATGATGAGACAAGATCTATTGTCCCGACTGATCAAAGCTCCCTTTAAACGTTATAGAAATATTGTTGCCGTCTACACAAAGCCTAAACATTTGGGTTTGAGTAGAATAACAAGAAACATTCCCAAAGATTCCACAGATATATAAGACATAAATCGTTTTGCTTATATAAACGGTGGATAAGTTTTCTTTTCTATATATTGCTTAGAATTAAAGTTTTTCATACGATTTATTGGGGAGTCCAGTCCATCTTTGTTTTTCAAAATTGGGGGCGTGGTTCAGACCACCACATGATTTTGATGCAACTTGCAGAAACTAATCTTTAGATGCACATGTAATGATGAGCATGATGTTTGGAAAAAAGTATTGTTCATAAATAGTTTATTTACTAATGGATCTTTTGTAAAGCAATCAGTTTCTTGCAGGAGACAAAAAAGTATACTGTAGTGGCTCATATAAGACTGTATTAAGTCCTGTCTGTCCCTTCTCCATGTATAGGTGAGTGCTTCCATGGTTGGCTTGAGCCACTTTTGGCTCGCATTGTTGAGGAGCCCACGGCTGTAGTTAGCCCAGAGATCACCACCATAGACCTCAACAACTTTCAGTTCCACAGTCCTGTGGCCACTAACCGAGCTTACAACCGAGGGAACTTCGACTGGAGCCTGACTTTTGGCTGGGAGCCGATACCAGAAGATGCAAAGAGGCTGCGCAAGGACGAAACCTACCCTGTAAAGTAAGATGGACCATGTTGTTTTCACTGCTGACGTTCTGAATCATTTAAAGCCTGAAGCTTCTGTAACTGCTCCATGAAAATTTTAGGACACCTACTTTTGCCGGCGGTCTTTTTGCAATCTCAAAGAAGTACTTTGAGCATATTGGAACATACGATGACAAGATGGAGATCTGGGGTGGAGAAAACGTAGAGATGTCTTTCAGGGTCAGTTTCTTCTCTCACAGTTATCATACTAAGAGCTTCTGTATCCATCAGTTAAACATTTGTTGCCTTTGTTATTTTAAGGTCTGGCAGTGTGGGGGTCAGTTAGAGATCATCCCGTGTTCTGTGGTGGGCCACGTTTTCCGCACCAAAAGCCCACATACTTTCCCCAAAGGCACCGAGGTCATCACTCGCAACCAGGTGCGCCTGGCTGAAGTCTGGATGGATGATTATAAGAAGGTCTTCTACCGTCGCAACAATAACGCCGCAGTTATGGCCAGAGAGGTCCGTTTTCAACACAAGTTTACGGGAATTTGTCCCGCAGATGCATCGAGTTGTTACTGTATGCAAATGTAGGAGCTTGGTTTGCCTTGTCAAGTGTAATAACTACCGGTACATCCCCGTGGTCACAGAATAAGTACGGAGACATTTCTGATCGTCTCAAACTGAGGGAGACGCTTCACTGTAAGAACTTCAGCTGGTACCTAAACACCATCTACCCAGAGATCTTCATTCCAGACTTAAAGCCGGAAAAATTTGGAGCAGTGAGTTCCGTTTGTGTATAGCAATACAAAACACTGCATGTCCCACATGATTAGGGTTTCTAACTTATTGTCTGTTTCCACCAGCTTAAAAACTCTGGATCCAACACCTGCCTGGATGTTGGAGAGAATAACCAGGGAGGTAAACCTCTGATCATGTACGTGTGTCACAACATGGGAGGCAACCAGGTACACAAACTAGCAGTGGAAAATGAAGAGCTGTAAGATACTTTGTTCAGTGCTTACTGGTTGGTTGTGTCTTTCAGTACTTTGAGTACACGTCTCATAAGGAGCTACGTCATAACATTGGTAAGCAGCTGTGTCTTCATGCGAACGACCAACCAGATCCAGTGAAGCTTGAGCTGTGTCAGCTGAAGGGGAAGGGTTCTTTTTTATCCCCACAAGAAGAGTGGATCTTTACAGAGGTGAGGAACACTTGGTCCCGGATTCACTGCAAAAGTTGAATATGTACGCCAATTTCTTGTACTTGGTTTCCTAAGCGATGAGAATATAAAAAACTGTTATTTCTCAATGAGCACTAAAAATAATTTTAGCATTACACTGTTGTAGACAGCTGATTATTATTATCAGTCTGAACACGGAAGACCCCTTTTGCTTCTATTTGGGTACAATAAATATAAAATATATAATAAAATAAGGAAATAAGAAACTCTAGTTGTTACGTGCGTGCATATTCAGAAGTTTAACACTGATCACCCCAAAGCCAGGTTATCCTCACCTTGGGAATTTGCAAGACGTTTTCTGAAAACTTTGAGATACGGAGCCAATAATGCAGTTTTGGGTTTGGCTCCTTTGAAATTCTCCATGAAACATCTACCAAAGCAAACATTAAACTCCAGCACTTATTACTGATGAATCTCCAGTGGTAACCGTGTCCAATTTTGAGCTTTTTTAACTTGAATGAGAGAAAAACAGATAGTTTTCTGCATAATAACCTTCTTTTTAATAATCCATTTAGTCACTTTGTAGTAATTTGGGCTTTTTTCCTAAACTATAGTAGGCAAGGGAGGGATCTAGTTAGCGCTTGATGATTTGAATAGCAGCCATGGCAGTCATTCTTGTATGAGCCTAAATGCTGTTTAAACTGTTGAGCAACATTAAGTCTAAACCTTTGGTAGAAACGTCATGAACGGGAATAATTTGCTATGTGTAATATATTTCCTGTTGTAGCAGGATGTAAATATGTATTTGTTTATGCGTTAATAGAGACTGAATCAATTTTAGATCTGTTACGTTTTGTACTGATTCAACAACTGAACTAAACAACAAGTGTTGTACTTTTTATGATAGATTTTTGTATAAAATGTTGGCATTAAGTGAAATCAGAAGATAAACATTTTATTGTCTGACTATTTATTTAAATTACTTGTGTTGAGGAGATGTTTGTGAAATAACAAGTCAGCATGTGATTCTTCTCTTCAGGAAAATCTTCTGAAGAATCCCGCCAGTGGGAAATGTTTACAGATGAAAGGAGACCGGGTTGAGATGGACCACTGTAATCCTGCAGATCTCCACCAGCACTGGACCTTCAGCTGACCTCCCAGTGTGCCTGTTAGGTGACCTCTGATGCCTTGTGCTCTCCTCATTCTCAGACTCTAGAGCTCAGAGCCAAATCAACACTAATCCAGGAGGGTCTGCTGCAGAGCACTGGGCTAACTGATGACCAGTGAAAGGTGGAGGACAGAGTAAAGACATTGACTTTTATTTAAAATAACCCAAGACTTGGGTTGGTCTTAAAATTAAAAAAAAAAAAACTTATTTATGAAGAAAACTCAGGAAGGTATTTTTTCAGTAGTTGGGGATCTTTAGACATGTGCAGACTTTGACTTTAGGAGTGGCAGCTTGGCAAAGGCAGTGTTACTGCCATTATCTTAACACACGTTTTACACTCCAGTATGAACAATTAACATCGACGTGAAGGTTTTATTTTTTTTATCTGACAGTGATTGTTGAATTTTGACGAGCACGATATGCCTGTTTTTAAAGAAAACAATCCTTTTTTTTAATAAAAACTCTGTCTTTTGAATGCTGTTTTCTCTCATAATATTAGAATATGATCTTTTCATCGTAACCTTTTGGGTCAGGACTTTAAAAACATTTCAGAAATTTATTGAAGTTATAAATAATGTTAGTGGTTTATATGCCCACATGAAATACAATTTTCCTGAATTGCAATGTGTACTGAAAGAAAGATAAAATTCCTTTGTTGTATGATGTACTATAAATATTATACTATCAGTCTCTAAAGTCACTGTAACATTAACGTCCTTGAAAGGCTTTAGGACACTGATTATTCTTGATTTTACCCATCAAGAAGTTAAGGAGGTGGACAAATGTCTCACTCGTGTCTGACAAAACTTGAAATGTGAGTTTCAAGGAATGGCAGGATGTCAAACCTGATCTGAAGGAATGTGTAGATTTCACCTCACACCCAGGTTTGATAGAGCAAAGGTTCAACAGTTTGTTTAAGAGACATATATGTATATATATATTTATATATATGTATATACAGTATATGTATATATATATACATATATATACTGTATATATGTATATATATATATATAAATATGTGTGTGTGTGTATATATATGTATATATATAATATATATATATATATGTATGTGTGTGTGTATATATATATGTATGTATGTGTGTGTGTATATATATGTGTAAATATATCTAATATATATATATATATACATATATATTATATATATACATGTATATATATATATATATGTATGTATATGTATGTGTATATATATATATGTATATATATGTATATATATATATATATATATGTGTATATATATGTATGTATATGTGTGTATATGTGTGTATATGTATAATTGTGTATATATATAGATATAGATATGTGTGTGTTTGTGTGTATATATGTATATATATATGTATGTTTGTATATATATGTGTGTATATATTATATGTATATGTGTGTGTGAGTATATATATGTGTGTGTATATATATATATATATGTGTGTGTGTGTATATGTGTGTGGATATGTGTATATATATATATATATGTGTGTGTGTGTGTATATATATATGTGTGTGTGTGTGTGTATATGTGTATATATATATATATATATATATATATATAT